CTTTTAGCAGCATCTTTAACCAGATGTGCAGCATGAAATGCTTTTGGATGTCTGTAGTCGTCTTCTGGGGCTGTTCTTGATGTTCTTTATGCACCTCTTGTCTTCTGTGTACGTGGGTATATCTCCCATTCGCTTAAATCTCGAGTAAAGCACAAATAATATTATGCACTTTGTTACCTAAGTGGTATTCTGTACAGTGGAATACCAGTTCCAGTGTTCTGTAAGAGTATTTGACAGGAAATCCTTTAATACGTTTTATACAACACCATATAAACGTTGTCTTTGTGAGGAAAGCAATACTACTACTACTACATATGGGAAGTGTGAATTGGTCTGTCGTTCCACCATGCTTTTGTGTTGTAAGGTGTATTCTGTGGATTAAAAGTTGACTTGTTGAAATCTTGGCCTGAATCCAAACAAGATGATACTGCTTTGTCTTGCTTGAGGTTGGGAGGACAAATAGAGATGACGGATGTTAGTATTTTTAATGGCTGCTAACCATTCTGTTGGACTAATGTATTAAAAACACAAACAAAATCACATATAGCTAAAACTCTACTCACTTAACTCTTTGCAGAAGAAGTACATATAATCACTTAAGCAGCTGGCTGACAGATGCAAGGAATCTCACCAATCCAAATACTGTAAGTTGGATTTTGGCTTGAAAGCAAGTTTTTCTTATCCCAAAGCAAGAAGTGAAAGGTTTAGGCCAAAGCATCTGCAGTATGCTGTTAGCAATGTTCTTTTAAAGAAGCTGCCTCTCATTCTAGACTAATTAGCTCTGAGAAATCCTTAAGTTCCCACCTTCTGCAGTACATCAGTGATTTCTTTTCACTTTCCCTTACTGCAACCGCAGCAAAAGCGTAGTGTTGGAAAGCAGTGGTTTCTGCCGAAAGGATTGCTGTGTCTCTTGCCTTCCAGGGCCTATTTTCAGTAGTTGGAGGCCAAATTGTTTAACTCTGAACAAACATTAACTTTGTTACTATCTCTTCTTGCCTTGTGGTGGTAATTAAGTGAAATACTAACTCATCTTAGTTTGGAATAAATTAGATTTCAAGCATAAGCTGTCCAGGTCTTCTGGAGAGAGGGCGGAGTGGGGGGGGGGGAAGGGAGGATCTTTTGTGTCTCTTTGAAAATCAAGAAAACTGTTGGTCTTTTCCTAAACGTGCATAAAATACTTTAGAACCAAGGTCACGGGAAGATTCTGCTGTGATAAAAGAAAACTTGTAAAGAATCTAGCTGGATTAGCAGATGGTTAAACAAACGCAGGAAGCAGTTCTACTCTAGATTCATGGAAGCTGTGCTCGGAACTCCTGCCTTTTAGGACATCACCTCATGAGAACAACCTGATGAATTTTATGTGCCAGCTGGAGACTTTGTTCCTGACTTACATCCTCAGTGCCCTGAGGGGGCACTGCTAAAGCAATGCTTTCCTGAAGGTGCATGTTCTTTGCAGGTTTTTATCTCGCCCCTTAATGAAAAGGGTGGTAATGAAAAAGTTAGTAAGCTGTCTTCTGGACTAATTTTCTTTCTTCTGAACTAGGTGATAATCCTCATAGGAAATAAAGCAGATCTGGAAGCACAGAGAGATGTTACATATGAAGAAGCCAAACAATTTGCTGAAGAAAATGGTGTGTTTTTTCTCTTGAGCTGTTACATTTTCTACAAGATAGCGATGTTAAAGTGAACCCTCAGCATTGATAGCTGCAAGCTTACACTTTCAAAGTAATGTAATCATATATACAGACTTATATTGTGCCTCAGATAGTCTGGCTTAATTCTAACTGTGCATAGTTCTAGAAATCAGCTTCTGTATTGATGCCTTAACTTAGTCATAAAATACTATTGAAATAGTCTCTTGCATGTAATCTGAAGACCATAACATGACTGTGACTTATGGCTATTCGAAGTATTGTGTTAACTGACTGTACGCTTCTGTTTCCAAACAGGTTTATTGTTCCTTGAAGCAAGTGCAAAAACGTAAGTGACTTGTCTAGAGGAATGTTCTACGTGGTATCTGTTTGAGTGGCATATATTCCTTATGACTAAATACTGCCATAGGGTTCAGGTGTAGTAGGGCTTTGCAAGTGAAGGAAAGTGCTATTTTTGAGTCGTCTTAGAGGGTAAAGTGTGCCTAGCAGTTTCAGTTCATGTTGGCTTTGACTTAAGGGCAACTCAGAAAACAGACAGACATCATACTGTATTTAAGGCAAAGACTTGAACTCATTTAAGGCCTTTTTTTCTGCCTAGAGTGTAGATGCGTGTTATGTGGCTAACTGTGGTTCCCCAAGTAGACTGAGCGTGTTACTTCCTTTGGATGTTTCAAGCTGTTCTGTAGCAGACCTCTCGTTCCTTGGATCACTAAGAGGAATCACTGCACCCTATTAGCAGTAGGCTGTGTTGGTTGGAGGGGCTAACAGAACGCAATGGATTAGATCTCCTATGGTGCTAGTAGGTGTGGTTCCAATTGGCACCTGTTTTAATGGAATCTTTGAATTTTTACTAAAATCAAAAAAAGGTTTGAACCTAATCAGAAAACAGACTCACACAAGTCTTAACTCTCCATAGCTGGAGTCTGCCACCTCATCAGTAAGAATAATAATCTTGGACTTGTGTTGTCTCAACCGTCTGTTGCTGAAATTGCCAGGAATGTGCTTGCCTTTACCACAGCTCCCCACCAACATCTGGGGAGGCTGTTGCCCAACTTGGGGTTCCTGCCCAACTTGGGCTATCAGTTTGCTTGCAACACCCTGATACAAAACTAGGAATCCTGCTAAAATAGGTAATGAGCAGTGTACTTTTAGTTCGGCAAAACACTGCTCCAAGCATCAATCCTTAAACAGTAGCTTTTCTGCCCAACTCGTTGCTAGTTTGACTGCATCAGCTGCTCTGAAGACCAAGTATGTAAATCTGACTGGGGGAGGCACAGCATGTTTAATGCAGATGGCTTGTTACATGCTGTAAAACTTCTACAGAGCTCCCCTATCTTTTAGCCTCTTTGAGAATGGCTGTGTGTATGTAGCTCTGTCTTAGCTTATTTTTCAGACTGGATGTTTTGATAGGCAGTGATATTAAAGGCTAGTCCTAATAGTTATAATGGCTAGGGAGTAAATAGCTGTATCAAAAGCTGTTGTGAAGAAAAGTTATCAGACTTTGTCTAGTTTGAGCACTGTAAACTCCTCACGTGTAAGATAACAGGGTAGCGATGGCTTTACGCTTAGTGACCTGTTAAATCTCAGCACGGGTATCTAGCCAGCTGCCTCCATAAGCTGCGTTGCTTTCCTAAACCATAGCCTAAATAACTCCCACCTGCTCTCTTCATAGTGGAGAGAACGTGGAGGATGCGTTCCTGGAGGCTGCCAAGAAAATATACCAGAATATCCAAGATGGAAGCCTGGATCTGAATGCTGCAGAATCGGGTGTACAGCACAAACCGTCAGCCCCGCAGGGGGGGCGGCTAACCAGCGAACCCCAGCCCCAGAGAGAAGGCTGTGGCTGCTAGTGACCTCTGTTTCATGGCTCCATTTCTGACCTTTCACCTCTCTGTTGGAAGCAGTGCTTTTGACTGCTTCACTGTCTTCTGTACATCTTATTGGGTTTAATTAAAACTCTGAGAAAACAATTTAACACAGTACTAAACTGCTAAACAACTTTAGATGTAATCAGGTTATCAAAGGCAAGTAGAGTAATAAAACCTCTCCTGCATGGTAAATCTAGAAGTTTTTTTTCCTTGATTGTCCTTGTGATAGTGTCACCAATACATAATTTAAACTGAGCACTGATGCTGGACTCTTGATTTTACACTTTTGCAGGGCTTTGTCTTGTACGGTTTAATTTTATGGTTCTTCAGCCTTTCTTCCCCACCTCTAACTGTTTAGAGCTGTCCATAGTGAAGGATAAGTTTTGCTGTGAAATGACTTCTGATGGTAGAAAGGGGCTCTGTTACAATGTGCTTTTGTTGAAAGCATTCCCTGTGGTGTGTGTGTGTTGGGGGAAGGGGGTGGGCTGGTGCAGGAGTGTACAACTTACTTCCATCTTAGCCTAGCACAGGGAAAAAAAAAATCCATTCATTCTTGTGCTCATAGCTTTACATCCTTTTTTGCCACTTTTAATCCTCTACCTTTGTTAACAGAACGTAAATATGTATAAAATTTGAAGGAACTGAGCTAACAGTTAAATACATCCTGTGTATATGATTTTAATGAAGAAAATGATTACTGGCATTAGAACAGTATGTAAGAAAATATCAGTTTGTACAGTATAGACCTATATGTGACCACATTGCCCCATTAGTGCTACAAAGATAGATGTAACTGCAGTTCACTAACATAGGCTTAACTCCTTGGTGTTGACAGTGGACATTGTGCTGAGGGAACTCTAATCCCAATGCAGAAATTAACACTAGTGGAATATGTCTTTCATCTTTGCACTGTGGTATATCTATGCCATTTTATTAATCCTGTTCTGTGCAATCAGCAGTGTGCTAACCTGCTTTTCTCTTCTGTAAGCATTTTGCATTATTGGGCTTCATTACCTGCCTTGCATTGTATACGAAGGCTGGTTCTCTTGCACATCTTATGCTTTTATACTTGTAACTCCTTGAATGGTCAGATACTGAACTGGACAGTCAGAACAACACATGTGCTCTCTAGGGATTTTTAACTACTCTTGGTTTTTTGTTAACCATACAGTGTGAGTGTTGTGGGGTTTTTCCTTTCTTCTTTGACTTAGGTTTCCTCTTAATAAAGACGCAGAATATCCCATGAGGGATATGAGACAAACTATAATCCTGCATGTATAAAGGGGAGACTTCACGTGGTGACCACACACATGTGGATTCTGTTAAAGTACATGAGGGGTTTTTGAAGTTGTTAGAAACTCAAATGTGTGCTCTACATGGGGTACCATACTTCATGTGAAACTTCACTTGGAAAACATCACATGTGCTTTAAAATTGTAAGGGGGCAAGTGCTTAACAGTGATCAAATGTCCAACTTCTAGTCTTACTGCAGTGTTTAAAACAGAGTAGTGTTAAAATCCCTGCCTAGACACTAAAACTCTACAATGTTCAGACTTGTAAACAGTGGTACCAGAATATTGTACAGTCAATGTTAAAAGCCAAAACTGGAATGTGCAAACAATAGGATCTGAGTAACTTGTACACTGTCCCTTTTTTGTCGTCTTTCTTTTTTCTTTTTTAACTAATAGATTGGTATGTTTAAGATCTATAGCTAATGCATCCTGCTTAAAAAAAAAAAGGTTGCACCACAAAGTTTGCCCAGGGACCATGACCTGCTGCTGAAATGAAATTTGGGTACAGCAAACATTCTAATGACTACAGCTTGTTAAGGTGCAATACCTTTATTCCCAGAGTAAGTTACAGTAGGTCTTATTGTTTCTGTCACAGAAAGGATTTGTTTGGACTGCTGTACTCATCATTTGATGTAACAATGCTATTAATCTAAATATTTGTAAATAAAGTACCTGTATCTAGATAAACTACAGTGGGCTGTGTTATTTGCTCTCAGAATTAATCTGCTTGTAGTCCTCTGGACCTGTTTGTTTATGCTGTGGTTTCTGAGGGGACTTGTTCCTTGGAGCTGTTCAGTCAGGCTGCTGCAGTTCTTGCTTTTAAATTCCTAGGCTGTTTTCCATCTACTACGTAGCGTCTGATTCCCAAAAGCTCCTCTTCCCACTTGCCTACAGTCAGGCCTTTAGTTCTTGAGGAAAAGCATCTCATTAAACTACTGAAAGTATGGCGTGAGCTAGTACCTAAAACTAGGCAAGAAGCCTTTGTAGTGATGATAATTGCTTTTAATACTTATTTAAAACTTCCTTCTTGAAGGTTAACATGATGACAATGTTACAGGGCTTTCACAAGAGGGATTTTTGGTGCTGGTCTCTGCTATAGCTTGACTCTACCTTATTTCTGGAAAAAGGCTGGTACATTAACATCCAGCATGCCTGCTTTGAGTCCAGAACCAGTTGCCAGAGATACTGTTGCATTTGTTAATCCTGATGAAATGTAACATGTTGTGATGCTTACTGCATATAAAAGGTTATAATTTAATAATTTGGATGAAAGTGCCAGGTTTAAAACACTTTCAGAGAATATGTAGATGGGAAGGGGACAATGGCTCTGGAAGAACAGTCACTCCAGGTCACTGCTCTCAGGCTGTGTGAGGTTTCTCTGGGAGGGTGGAATAGGTTCTTCAGGTCAGGCCTACATTGCATGAACGACTGGTAATGTGTCTTGCAGCCTTAAGGCTTCGTTATATCAACACGGCAAGTTTATAATAAAATCAGTACGATCAGTAAGTATAGCCGTATGCTTCAGAAACAATACGGAGGAGGCTTCAGAACCAAAGCTTAATCAAAGGCTTACAAATACTAGCCAGCAAAGTAAATGTCAACATTTGTGACAAGTCTCACTGCAAACAGGAGGTACTAGAGTCAGAGCTTCCTCCAGCATTAGGATGCTGTAGCACTACAGGCTCACCTAGCAGTATGAGTATAAATATCCTTGAACATTTAAAAAAGTTTATTTAAGAAAATACTGTAAAAATAATTGTACTTACAATATCCATGCATTTGACAACAGGTAAGGGACAACTGTCCTTATTACAAATCTTTACAAAGTGAAAACTAACCAAAATTATGAACACTTAAATAGCAACAGTAGTTATTTTGGGTACTTTAACTCTGTCTTTAAAATAGTTAAAACACTTTTCTTATATACATAAAGCTCAATTATTTAATCATATAGAAACTTCACAGTACTGAGTAGATCCTGTTTGTTATTGCTGGCAAAAAGTGAGGTAGAAGTCTTCAAAGATGGTAGAAAGATGGCACAACTCCAAGAAGTACAACTGCATTTGCAGCTCAGCACTTGTCTAAAAAACAGAATATGAATGGTTGCCACAGAATGGGAAGTTCAGTGTAGCGTGCCCTGGTCTGGTTACTGCACCACACCAGCTTTTACATCAAAGTAGCAGCACTTAGATGTGCATGGAGATTTGCATGCCTTCTGTACTGTACTACTAGGCCTTCTGTGCTCCTGCTGGTGGGCAGCTGCCTAGAGACAACTATGGATGGGCTTAAAGCTTTTCTTCTCTTTACCAAACGCTAATGTACAGCAGCTCTTGCTAAAATAAATATTTTAACTTAAATCACTGCAGAAGAGCCATTAGCATAAAGTACTAGGCTTGCATGCCTTCTTCTTACTTGATAGCTGTAACCTATACTTGCCCCCCCCCCGCATGTCTGAGAATCAGAAAAAGGGTACTGAAGTTTTATATAGCAATAGCTGAACATTAAAAATCAGAGTAGTGCTTTCTGTATGTCATCTGAAAGCTTAGAAGCAGCTCTCACACAACATTTTAAAATAATACATCTCTAGGAGCCAAAATAACTTGAAGGGGCAGGACACAAACAAAGGGAACTCTTCCATTAGACAAGGATAAAGTGATATCAAAATAGTTCTTTACCTGCTCCTGTCCCTGGACTGACAACACATGCAATCCACAAGCCTCACAGTTAAAGATACATTTACAAACAAGTACAAAGTTCAAACTAGGATGAAGTCTAAGTAACAGATACTTAAGTATGTCTCTTACCTCTGTGCTCTACTGAGAAATTCCTTGTGAGTAAGGCTGCAGTGCTTGAGATGCCACTGAAATACCTGCTTGCCTAATAGGAGAAGGAATAATTCCTGTCAGAGCAGCCTAGAAAAAGCCATTAAAAAGTCTGAATACTAAGTCAACATTGTCAATCAATCAGCTAAGTTGGATTAATTTTTTTTTTTTTTTTGGTTTTACCTAAGAATAAAGGGAAATTTTAAACTAGTCTTTGGAAAAAAATTACCATTTTCAGACACAAGTTAGCTAATAGTCTGGTAAAGTAAATGAAGCATACAGTATAATTTCCCCACTGTTAGCAAATCCCTGCAGCAGATACAGTTGCCTCTAAAACATTGAGTATTTGAGTGAAACAAGCTATTAGTGAGCTAAAATATATTGTTAATTCAAAATCAGAATTTGTGTACATATTAGAGTATTTACCTGTGTTTTTGTTAAATTCAGAGCATCATGAAGAGAGAGACTTGATGAGCTTTGGGCTAGAAACAGCGAATCTGAAGAAGTACTGCTGACTAGGTCATCCAATGCGTCAACTTGTCGCTTCAAGCTATGAAGGGTGCCTTCTGTTTGCTGTTTTCCTCTGATCAATACTTCTACTTGCTTGGACATGCATTGCCGGAGTTGAGCCTAAATAAATCAGTGGTTCTATTTATATCCTTAAGGTTATTTTGAAGACTGTATTAAAAAAAAAAAAAAAAAAAAAAAAAATTAAAGCTTGACTTTAGAAGTCAAACCTTAAGGGATTTAGTGTTAGATTCTCTTGTAAATCACAACAAACAGGTGGTAGTTTTGCAAATTAATTCTTTAAATAGTTTACCTCTTCTGAAGTCAGAAGTAAGCTGTATTTCTAAAGCCTTTAACATTACTGCTTGAATAAAGAGCAACAGATGTGCTCTAACTAAACTTAGCCATCATCTCTGCCTATAATGAGCATGGGTGCTCCTGTATTGTAGTGTCATTTTGCTAACATACTGTAATATATCTTGTCAGAATACTCATATAAAACCCATTTATGATTAACTGTTCCTTAATATTGTTATCCTGATAGCACCTGCAGCTTCTATGCTTTCTCCTACTGTTACCACCTCACAGAAAAGACCACCAAAGATACTCTGCAGCTAGTCATTATGTACAAAGTGGATACTCAAGAGCTGGAGAAGAATCTTCCTCACTCCTGTAGTGTTTAACTTATTTTTAGAAGGGATCTAGTGGACACATTAGCATGACTGGGAAGAGAGATGTGCCACCTTCAAGCGATCTTCATGATGCCGCAATTTTTCTCGGAGAGCTTCTCCCCGCCACTGTTCATCCTTTTGAAAACAAAAGCACATTCAGCAATTGAGCAGCATTGCAAAGGGTACCAATACTGACATGTCCAGCTGTAGCAGCAGTAGCAGCTACTTTTTAAAAGCATTTTTACCATTAAGAAGACTTTAGAAAAATCCAGCTTTTCTTCCAGCGAGAGCAGTCTTTTATCAGTAGCTGCAAATGGAGCAGTCTCCTCTAAGTCATCTGATTCACCATGCAGACTTTCCCTTACTTCAAAAGCTGCTTCCAGATTTTCCAAGACTTCTGGAGAAGATGGACTTAAAGATTTAAGCCCTGTCCTAATTTCATCTTTAATCTCCAATTTAAGCATCTTTGCTGCATCCTTTATTTCCTTTTGTCTGTTTTCCAGGTCTTCTTGAGTTTTAACCTACACAGTAAAACACAATCTCACCACTTTGCTATCATATTACCAATGCATCAATACAGAGGGATTTATCTGTATTACTGAACAAGGCTCATTACTGAAATATTTACATTTTGACCATTACAATCAAAAATCATAGAACCTCTCAGCAGATGCATTCCCAGTTCTGGTTTACTTTGCCTATAAAGCCCCTCTAGTGTTAATAGAGGCAACTACCTAAGTAAGTTACCAAGAAGCAATTTGTTAACTTAAAATAAACATATTCATATTCTGAGCCTGCAGAATCTTCCTGGAAGGCACTGTAGTTGCTAACAACATTCTTCTCCAAAGAACCTTGTAAAATTAAAGGACTAGAAGGATTCAAACTATGGAATTACCTGTAAATTTAAAGTATCAAAACAAGAAAATGCTGACCGAGGTTGGCACTAACACATTTTTAAGTGCATAGTGAGTAGCTTTGCACTTAGATAACATTTAGTGATTTGCATAAACTGACTCGTTATGCTAAGTTCTTATGAACAAAGCCTAATGTAAGCAGGAGTCAGAGTCCTAATTAATTCTTGACTGAGGCATTGCCTAAACTGAACTGACATGCAGATGCTAATTAGCAAATGCACTCATTTGCTAATTATCTTGGGAGCATCCAAATTCAGTTGACTCTAACAAATAGCTAGGACCTCCTCCCCCGCTCTAAAACACACTGCCTGTTTCAGGCATGATTTTACTGGGGGAGAGGGGTTGATCTCTTCTCCGTTTGAACTGGCCTAAACAGTGCCTGCAATTCCCCATCAAGTGATGGGAAAGTAACCATACAGCTCTGCCTTGGCCTCTGAGATCTGAAGAATGAAATACTACTTTAGAGCTTGACAAGCCTTACTGAGAACTCAGCACATGACTGACTTGGGTTGGTTGTTTTTTTTTTTTTAAACTAGGGATTACTGAGCTGTCTGATCATTAGAAAAGCCCAACTTCCAGACTTGGAAAATTGCATGGCAAATTGTAAATAGCTGTATTTTTGCCAATTGTGATCCAAAGAACAGGAGGAGATTCAAAACTAATACAATATAAACCTGCCCGGAAGACGCACTTTTCCCTTAAACCAGCCTGTATTTGGCTTTTCAGTTATACCTGTGTTTGGAGATCCATATATTCCCGTTGGATCTGGCCAAGCTCCTTAATAAGGCGTTTTGCTTGTTCATGGTTATTATGTGCTACTTGTTCAACAGTTGCTATATCACTCTGCAAACAGTCATTTTCATGCTTTTGTTCCTAGGAAAATTGCAGAAAGATTGCCTTTTACTGTGAGCACCCACTTCAGAATAGGAATCCAGAGAAGCCACATTGAACACCATTTCTTCAATTTAAAACACACAACCACAGTATTAAATAGGAGTAACTAGGCAGGTATTCTGCAACGCACTTTTGAAATACCAAAGTTTGGTTGCTTCAAATTATGTCTTGGAATTAATGCATTACTTCTGTTCCCCTTGCAGTAAAAGTGGTGTTCTAATCATTTTGCCATTAAAAATAAGCAAATAAATAACTAAGAGACAGGACTTGCATGCAGCTCTTTTTCCATCTGGGTCCTCTGCATTTTAATTGCTTCTTTCAGACTCAAGATTTGCTTTTGTGCTTTTTTTCTCTCTGATGCTAGCTGATCTTGGAGATGTTTTAGCTCAGATTCCGAAAGTTCCAGTTCTTTTTGAAGAGATGCAATTTCTCTGTTTTTTTGTTGTAATTGTAGTTCTTTCTCTGAGACCTGATGTTCTGCAATTTTTTTAAACAATCTTGGTTAGTAGAAATGTGGATATCTTGTCATATTTCATACACATTAGGTATTTGCAAAAACTTTAGTCTTCTGCTGAGCAATGGTTTGTAAAACCACTGGGGGACACTGGGAAGGGAAGGAACAATCCATTGGCTACAAAATTTCAGTTATGTGAGTAAATCAATTTAAGGATCAAGAGTCATTCCAGGTGGTCAATTAAAACCTAACCAAGATTAACAGAAACATTTCTGTTGGCTTAATTAGACTTAGGACCCATATGTAGTAACAACAATATATCTTACTGCTTTTTCTCACTGTTTCTTCTAGTGTTGCACACCACGTCTCCTCCTTTTCCAGCTTCCTGATCTTTTCTTCTGCCAGTCTTACTTTTGCTATTGCCTGCTCCAATTTCTTTTGTTGATCTGTTAGCTCCTTTTCCAATAGTAGCTTCTGATCTTTCAGTTTAGCAGTACATTCTTCCAGTTTTTTTCCTTCATACTCTGAATCTTGCTTGAGGTGATGAAGAATCTGCTCTCCCCACCAAAAAAAACCAAAAAACCAAAAAACCACCACTTCAAGTTTTACTTAGTACCAGCTCAATGAGAACAAATATTATCACCAAAAGACATTAGAGAGAAGTTAAAGAAGCAGAAACCTAAAAAGGAGCTCAAATAGCTCCATACTGGGGAGGGAAAACACACATACACACACACACACACACACACTTTTTACATGTTTATCAATTTTTCTTTCTCTATATTTTTAATATACTTCCCTCACTTTTTCCATTGGTCAACGCTTTGTGGAAACTGCTCAGCCAGCATAAGTTAGTTTTACTACTGGAATATACGATTAAACCTCGGAGCTGATGGGCTTGCCCAGAAATATAGTAGAAGAAAACAAACAAAACAAAACACCCTAGCTGCAAATAGCGATCCACTCAAAAACAAAAGGAAACATAAAAAAAAAACCATCCCAAAATTGTTCTGTTTAGTTTTTGAATTCTGAAATAATGCAGGAGGTAAGTATTGATTAGTTTCGCTTTACATCCATTTTATCATTGCAGGTACATTACACAGTTCACTCATTTCCTGAGAGAAATCAACAGCATGGGTAGAGGTTCTCTGAACTATGTCCAGCTGTTGGCAGCTGACAAACTGAAAGCATAGAGAAATATTTGTACTAGTCCATTTCCTCACCCACACCAGCTACATCAGCAGCCAAGATATGACAGTATACAGTTGTGCTGTGTGAATTCTACACTAGCGCTTCTTGCGCTCTGAGTGATCACTGCTGATTTTACAGCAGTTTTGTTACCATTTCAGTGTAAGATGGCCCTGCCAAGAGGGAAACCAGCCGAACAAAAAACCCAATGCAGTTCTTTGTTGTGACATGCTGATTTTCATTTAAGTATTCCTGAATGTTGAAGTTTTTCTTCTGCTGCATTCTTCTAACAATGAGGCTTCATGTTTCTTAAAGCACTAGTATATTATTTGTAAACCCACACCCAAAACTTTTTTGCTTGCATTATTTTCAGAGGTAAGACAAAAGTGAGACAAGTCTGCAGACTCATTACCGCTTCTTGTTTGGCTAGTTCTGTCTCTTTCTCTTGAATCTCTTTCTGAAGCTGCTGCAGTTGGTTCTCCCTCTTTTTCTGTCTCTCTTGGCAATCCTTACGTTTCTTCAAGCATTCCAGGATTTCTTCTTTCAGGGTTGCCTGCTCTCTAAGCAACTCATCCTGATGCCTTGTATTATTTTTCAAATCCTGCAATATAAAATATATAGAGCGACAAAACTAGCCGGTAAAAATAACGGTTCTCACCCCTATTCATGTTTAATATTACCTTCTACTTAAACCAGCCATTGAAGAAATTAACACAGCAGGAGCTATCAGATAAAAAGCTAAAAGGTATTGAGGCAAAGGTTGTGCTTCCCCCCGTCCTCCAAGAACAATCCACATGCAGGGTGGTTTTGCCCTTCCAGGATTCTTGGCAAGAATTCCTCTACAACCACAGGGAAAAAAAAAAAAAAATCTCAAACTCAGAAATAATACTCTGAATAGGAGCATCCATGACCCTTTTCCACTTCCTTCCATGTTTAAAAATAGAAAACCCAAAATGGAATTTATCTGAGTAAATGTCTACTGCAGTCCAAATTACTCCAAATTCAGGAAGAAATAAACTAGCTCTTGTTGATTAGCTCTGCAAACGTCTGATTTTGAGCTACTATGCCTAGATGAAGAGGTGATGTACTATCATGTGCAAACAGGCAAAAACTGTTGTGATAAAAACCATCCCACTCACTACATTAAAACAAGCACATATTTCACCAAAACTAACCTGTTCTACCAGTTGAAGTTGTTGTCTGGAGTCATTTAATTCTCCTTTCAAAGTTTCCAATTCTTCCTTTTTGTCTAGAAAAATATTTATTTAGTGAAAGACATTTGCAATCAGCCATATGTGAAATAACTACGCAAACATAATCTTGCTTTTCATAGATACACAGTAAAAAAACAGTTTCTAAAATTTTCATCTCGACTTGCTAAATATTGTCTGCCTTTAGATATTTGAGCATATGAGATCATTTAACTTCATGCAGGACAATTGCATACGCTGTGGCTTTTAATACAAATTGTTTTAAGATGTAATACATCTTAAGAAGACATTAAAAATGATCTTCACCTTGAAGATGCTTCTGTATAACAATGATGTCTTCATTCAGTGATTTTTTGTGTTTGTTGAGTACTTCTATCTCCTGCTGCAGTTTTTGTACCTCCATTTCCATCTTCTCTATATTGGACAATGCAGTTCTGCTGCTATCTTCAGTAGCAGTCAAATCTCTAAAATGTGAATGCGTATTCTCACTTTGTTGAAAATATTTCATGAGGACTCTTTAAAGACAGCTACATTAATTTTTTTGAGCTCAAGGGGATGCTCTCTAGTAGTCATGAGAACAAGACAGTTGTCCCATTCCAAGACTTAACGTTTATTTTAGACTTTACCTCTTATTGCATTGTCACAGTATTACAAATACTGTTGTTTATCAATTTCAGTTGCTGAGTAGCTTCTGCAAGTCCACTGTAGAAGTGCTTTAAAGAAAGTGTCCACAGGGTATAAGAAACAGTATATTCCATATGATTGGGCACCAAAGTGAGAAAGGGAGTTTTTAATTATGATAATAAATAGACATTCAAGGCACTTCTGATCTTTGAAGAAAAGTGTACATATACGCACACATCCCCTCCTACACCCCCCCCTACCCATCCCTACCTTCTAGTTTGCGACAACTTATTTTCCAAACTCTGACAGCCTTCTTCAAGCTTTTGTTTTTCTTTATTTAAAGATTCAATGTTATTTTGCAGAGTGCGCATTTGAGAAACCAGGTGTTCATTTTCTTGACGGTCTTTCTCAAGTCGTTGTTTCTGCCAGTCTACTTCCCCTTGCTGACACTGAAATAATCTCTGAATACTCTTCAGTTCTAGTTTTTCCTGTGAAAGATGGCAGTGTGTAAAACAGATTTACATGGTCAAAAAGTTGAACAAGTTATTAACATCTTTAGATACAGCAGTATAAACACCTTTCTTTCATTCACAAAGATCACAAAGGGTACTATATAACCTGCATATAGCCAAACAGTTATTCCCTGTTATAAAGCAATAAAAAGTGCCAGATTATATGAATGTATTTATGATGAAGGTTCAGGCAGCAACTGGATACTAGCATGAGGCCTGGAAAATGGGGATTTAGTTTCTTGTTCTGTCATAACTTAACCTGTTTTTCTCCCCATCTACAAAAAAAAAAAAAGCACATGCCTTCATCACACGGATTTTGAAAGAATCACTGCAGTAAGGACTCTGAGATGCTCAGATAATGCAGTAAGGAAACCACTTTAGGTGTGGTTATACAAAATACTGAACATGTTAACTAGCCCCTTCTTTTCACTGACCTTAACAGAAAGGGTGCAGAGATAAGAGGTTAAGGTCAGCTTCCATGCTCTTCTAAACAGTCTCCTAGCAAAAGCATGTTTGGTTTTCTGGAGCTCACACATCTGAGTAAAGGGGGGTTATCCTGGACTTTGATCTAACAAGCCTTTAGTTCTTATGAGGCTGCTGAAGGGATTCTGCTGATCTCTCTGCCTACTTGTACTAAAGTTGAGTGTCTGTTTTTACTTGTCAAAAAGTCTTAGAAGAGACTATTGAGCTGAAATGCCTTTTTAGTGATAGAGAAGGTCATCCAGCTGAGTTAATAAGTTGTCTTCTATACTTATTATTTGTGTAAATGAGGACAAGATGGATTCAAGAATCTTTATCTGGATTCTAACATTAAGAAAACAATATTCATCAGCCACAGAAGAGCCTTTCTCTGTCTTTCTTTTCCACTCTCCCTCTCTCATATGTACAGAAAAAAACCCCAAAACACATCAGTTTAAAGGGCCTCAGCAGACGTAAGACATTTCTGTGATAAACTGAAATCAGATGGGAAAATGTCTGATTTAAAAACGTAGGGACTTTGTTACCAGATCTTAATAGAACCACAGAAAATGCAGAGAGCTCTTCTTCCAGTTACTATATTAACTATAAAAGAAATACTTACTTCTAGAACTGCAACCTGAATCTTTTCTAGTTCATTGACCTTTTGGTCATGCTGTAGTTTCAGACCTTGAAGTTCATTATTTTCAAGCTGCAGCATTTCCAGAACATGTTTCAGTTCTAATAAAAAGCAAGAAAACCAAAGTTTATTATTACAAGCACACAAACTGCTTTCTGGTAGCAAAACAAGACAGCCCAAGGCAGGGGGCGGAGGGAACAAACAGATGTTATCCTTGTAAAAACTCCTCATGTTTTCAATTGCTATGTGTCAGACATACCAGGTGTTGTATCTAATTTTCTAGTAGCAAGTCGCAGGTTCCTATGTCTCCTGTTTTTCCTGTTTCCTAGGTAGTCAGATATTCTGTCCCAAAACATGAAATAAAATATTTCTAGAGAAAGTACATAAGTTGCAAGCTGCAGAAGACTGTATTTTCCACCATCTGACAGGATGTAATTTCTTAGAAGGACATTCCTCTGTATCCCCTTACACCCAAATAGTTAATTCTTCTATGAGTGTGGCACAACTGGCTAATGTCTCCTAACTACATAGTGCTAGAGCGTGCACCTAACCGATCAGTTAGTTCCTACTGCCGATTTGTTTATGTTTCTCTATGGGACGAAAAACTGCAGTCTGAAATACAAAGCAGCACTGAATACTGTCTCAGCACAAGCCAGAACAACCAGTCCTCTCTGTATAAGGTATGAGAATCACGGGGATCACTCTTGGCTCTGCACAATATTTAAAAAGCAGTGAGGAAAGGCAGGCTGCAAAGATATACAACTAAGAGTTCAGAGTGCATTTCCTTTTGTTCTATACAAAATAATATATAATAAAGCCAGGACATACCTATCTTGTGCTTGGTAATTTGCCCAAGTATTCCTTGAAGATTTTCCTCTTCTTTTCCAATATCCTTCTTTATGAAGGAAAGCTGTGCTCTTTTCTCATTAATCTGGACGTCCAGTTCTTTCCTCTCAGCGTTCAGCTCTTCCAGAAGAAATCTTATTTCCTGTGTAAATATGCCAGTGTTACAACAAATGCCGTTATTTTCAGTCTGGTAAATAGTTTTTTCTTTAAATATAAGTTCTAAAAATTTGTAAAACAAAAAAACCCAACTATTCTCAACACTACTCTGATCAGTTTTATTCAAGGATTTACAGTTACAGTTAATTGTGCAAACAAACAAAATGATGCAATATTTCGTTTAAAATCTTTTATGTTGACAACCTAAAGCAGCTAGCTAGTAAAGATTTTGATCTACTAGCCTGACTATAATGACATCCCTTCAAGTGAACCACAGCTAGGCCTTAAAAGAGAAAACCAGACAGTAAGAAAGAAGCAGTTAATCTTGATTCTTCATTTTTATTTCAGTGCTGAGTCTGGACCAAGTAAAAGCTTTCTTCCACAAAGTGAGTAGATTCTCTTTTGAGCAAGTAAATGAGAATGAAGGACAGATAGCTGACTTATGCCGCTTCTGTTGTGTCTTACGCAAACTGATTTTCTTTAAAAGCTGCTTGCCTCAGCAACAGCAAGTCATAACTACGTTCAGAGACTTCTACTTAATATTATTTAGTCAAGTGCTCAAGGGACTAATTCTGCAAGTATCATTCAAACTAGAGATTTCTATTTCTTATTTCTGCATGGGGTCAGGCTCCGAGGCACACAAAAAACTTGCTTGTTCTCCTTTTTCAATGGGTTTTAGAGAGGTGGCAGAAAGCAAAACTGATTTTATGAAAGCTTTGTGAAGTCTTTTTGATACTTCCATTCTTTTGCTATTCTTAACTGAAGCATAATGAACTGAAAATTCATTTGGAAAAGTTACTCTTATTTGGCGTCGTTTTTCATTTGCTTCAGTCTCCCCATCTCGAAGAGCTTCTTTGAGGTCACCTTTCTTTTGAGAAATACAATCTTGAAGGACGTTCAGCTCCTCTTTTCTTTGACACCGTTGTTGCTCCAGAAGCAGCAGCTCTTGTTGCTGAGCAGTAATCTACAATGGAGAAGTTTAATGTAACAAGCATCTGAAGTCTTTCTGTAGCTATACAGGAGAGGGAAAAGAAAAAAAGAAAACAAACAAACCAACCAACCACAACACGCACACACACACAAAACCCCAAACCTCCCCTGCAACACACTGTCCCACTGCCAAACAGACTCCTGGCAAAAAACAACAAACAACAACAACAACAAAATCAACCCACAAACAAACAAAAAACAAACTAAACCAAACCCCATTATTTGAATAGTGTCACACATAAGGATCCCACCAGAGCAATGAACTTCATTTGCTAGGCCCAGCTAAGCCCAGCTTAGCTAGGCCCAGCTAAGCCCAGCACTACAAACCAAGTTCTGACCTGGACACCGCAGCCCTGTACGTCAAAGTGTTAAGTTTCTTACTCTGAAAGGCAGTAAGAGTTGTCAAAGAGAACTCTGCAATAATATTTATTATGCAGAAATGCTGGCAAGGCTGAGATCATACTTGTTACAAGACAAAACAAGGAGAAGCCAAATTACAGATAGTGAAATAAACCTATGAATTAAATTCTTCAGACAAGGGAGTTCAGAATGTAAGACTCTTCTCAGCATCTAATTAGGTTAAAACCAACAAAACTGAAAGTCCTGAGTTAATCAAATATGCCTTACCTGATCTTTCAGTCTTTCCAGTTCAGTTTTCTTGCCTTGAAGAATGTTTTCTGCTTCCCTAAGGATTTGGAGGTGATGTTCTTCGTTACCTTCTGCAACTTGAATATCTCCTTGAAGCTTCTGAAGACTAACAGTGAGGATAAGAACATGATTCAGAAGAAACAAGAATACATTAGGCAGTAACTTAATATTAGATAAACTAAAGATGTCCTTCTCCAGTAAGTGCTTAAGCTAAATTAAAAATAAATACGTACCTTTCAGTCAGCATTTCTATCTTCTGGTTTAACGACTGGAACTCGGAATCTCTTGCAGACACTACTTTGTTGATTTCCTTCAAGATACTTTCTTGTTCAATCTTATGCTGTTCTAAATCCCTTGTATCCGCCTGTAATAACCTAAAGAGGCATTTATGGCTTTTCACATTAACATTTTTACAGCTCTCCCTCTCTCAAAGCAATATCTTGGTATTTGAAGGAATGTGCTTTTCTCCTCATTCTAAATCAAAAAAGAGCCCCAGAACAGTGTACCTTAATTGCTGATCTGCTTTCACGAGTTTAATGGCCACTTCCTGAGCCCTTCGCTCTAGCTCCTCTGCCTCCGTTTCAGTACGGGACAAATGCTGTTTGGCATGATTGTACTTTTGAATAGTGTCTTTGGTCTAGAGCAAAAATTGAAGATTATTGAAGCAACAGATTCCCATCAATCCTCTTACGCTTTCCATATCTATAACCTGTGGGTTAGCTGTCTAAAGACGACCTCCTCCCAGCTTGAATTCAATAGCTCATTGAACATTCCAGCTGAGCCCTCTCTCTGCATACTAATGAGTTGGAACCTTTTCTTCTCTCCTTCCTTGGAACAGAAAAGGTTCCTTCTCTTTAGCAAGGATTGAAACAGGTCATCCAAATGCTTATTTTCAAGAAAGGGTATTTAAAAAAAAAAAAAAAAAAAAAAAAAAAAAAAAAAAAAAAAGGAGGGAGAGGGAGAAAGAGAAAGAGAGAGAGAAACTATCCAAAGAAAACAGGCTTACGTACTGGCATGACTGAAATTAAGAAGTGACAGGGAAAGGTTTTACTATAAACAAAGAAACTGTATTTTTAATTCTTCACAAAAACATGCAACTCTTAGAACTTAAAAAGATCTCAGTCTGCCTTTCCCCTTAAAAACATGCATTTTCTCTGCCTAAAACAATCTTTATGTAATGCAGAAGCCCTTCTGCACTCAGAGTTATGGCATTACTTACCTTTCCCCGTGTGCTCTCAAGTTCTATTTCAGCTTCTGCAAGTAGCCTATCTGCTTCTCTAAGCTCTGCTCGTCGTTTCAAAAGTGTCTTCTCTATACATTCAATTTCATCTGTAATATCTTCGTGTTGTTTCAGAGATTTTTCTAACTGTAATTCTGCTATTAGATTGTCAGTATGCCCTTCAATAAAGTCCCTAATAGATCAGGAGAAAAAAAACAGAATTAAAATACAAAATGATAGAGGCTTAGGAGTCTCTTAAAGCTATAGTCTGTTACATATACTATACAAATGTGAACTTTAACTTACAGGTGTCAAAACTGACTGTTATCGGAAAAAAGTTATTAGGAATTTCCACATGCTTATTTTAAATGCATTCTAGCACAATATCCTTACTTCCGTTTGTTATGTTTTTGAGCTGCTCTTCGTAGCTCTGCTACTTCACGTTCCAGGTCTTTTCTTTCATTCACTAGGTCTTCAATATTTTGATGTAATTTTTCTACCTCTTTCCTATATTTGTGGTCAGCTTCCCCTGACCATTTATCTCTGTATTTCTGAGACTTTAAATGATACACAATGTCTTCTAGCCTTGAGACTTCGTTCTCCTACATACAGAAAATACAACAGTTAAATCAAGACCAGTTTTCTATTTCAGTCCTCCAAAACAGCGTATTTCACACATAGCAGCAGCTACAGCTAGCAAAGACTGGACTATTAACACTAAAAACAGAGCAGTCTCATTAGCAAGCACTCTGACATCCAGAATCTTGCTAGAAGAGACTTTTTCATAACTAGATTAAGATTCAGCATAACCCTAAATGGGACTTCCATGGGAGCTTTTTTTGGTCTCCTTACACAAAATCTGTGAAAGTGAGGAGGAAAGTGAGGAAAGCACATGTTAAGAGGTGTTCCTCACTCATTCATAAATCAATTGCCTATGGTTAAATCTGCAGCCTACAGCTCTGTATCTTACCAATTCATGATGTTCAGGCACATTGCAGTGAAGAACTCCGACAGGAATGAGTGGGACAGAGAAATTAGCAGGAAGAGGGCCATACACAACCTGGGCTCCCACAGGAGGTGGGCCATAGATAACTGTTCCAGGGGCAACTGAACCTCCATTTGCTGGTGCAGAAGGAGGTGGGCCATAAATCACAGTTCCCTGAGGTACAGGGGCACCATTTGGAAGGACTGTGTAAATAACTGTACCAGGTGGGGGTACAAAGGGAGGGTCTTTTGGAACATAAATTTCCTCATTTCCTCCACCATCCTCATCTTTCTCTTTTCTACCTTCAGGGGAAAAAAAAAAGGAGAGAGAAAAAATAAAGTTAGGGGTTTTTTTTAAATACAAGATATTCTTAAAATGCACATATCAAAATAAAACACATTTTCTTAACTATGTAATGTAAAAAAAGGTAATAAATATTGCTTAAACTAAATGAGTTCAACAGTAATAAAGGTCTATGATTCACTTGGGCATACCAGGAAAATTCACTATGAACTCTATTCAACTCTATGCTTAGTATGTTCCTAAACATTTTGAGGCCATGAGACTGACTTACCTTTAGCAGAATTTGTTTTGTACAACCTCGTTCTGACTGGTGAATAAATCCAATATCCTCTTGGACTATGCAAGTCTTCCCTCCTGACTTGCCTGTCCTGAACATGCCCTCTTCTGGATGGGGATGTGCCAGAACATAGTAAACCAACTCCAGAATCTTTTGTGCTGTGAGAAGCAGGAGTTGAGGCCTAAAGAGAAGAGAATGCACATTAATGTGAGATCCTGTATTCTAGGAATAACAATTAATACAAAATAAATACATTGTTCTACACATTCCAAACACTGATTTTTCAATAACAGGCTAGTGATACTGTGCCTTCTCTCATTCTCAAGAATCATGCTGCATTAAAAAGCTCGTTACATATACATTAACAATTTTCCTCTTAAGTTCAGACAAACACTGTTTTGAAAGGACTGTTTGGAGATCTCATATCATCAAACAGGACGTAGTAACCTTTCTATAAAGTTTGATCTGTGTTATGGAGAAATAAAAAATAAAAAAGAGTGACCACTCTTATTACAATGCCTATTGTCTATTTTAGGGAAGAAAGAACAATCAGAAATACAGATCTATTGAACACAAACAACGTAAATCTCTGTGCTGCTCTTTTTTTATTTAAACTTTTTCCTAAATGATTTTACAATACTCCATTTCATGTAGTTTCTCCAATTTGTATATATATATATATTAGACTTCTATTAGTACAGGTCTCTGTAAAGGCTTTATCAGGGAACGTATTTGTATATGTATCGTTTCAGTATTTCCTCTTCATCTATGCTGGCCAACATTTTCTCTTCAGTTTCCCCCCAAATCCAGCAAGTTTATAAAGTAATTTCCCATATCAAATTCCTCTCCACATAATAGGATTTTAATTTCTCACCTGTGATGATGGCATGTAATACCAGTATCCCCTTCTTTTGAATGGATCTGTTATACTACTGATGTAATCATTCTGGTAAGAAAGCACATTTCTGAGTGCTGCAATTTCATCTTGCAAGTCATCAATTTCATCCTTGTTACCTGCAAATTAATTATATGGCTTTATAAACACATATGGCAAATAATCAGGCCATATGCACTAAGCTTTAAAATGGCAATTTAAAGCTTTTCCTCATTGTTATACTGTTAATCTGAAATAATACACAAAACTAATTGTAAAAGGAAAACACTAAGTTCATACTACAGGTAACTGATGCTTGTTTTTTCCTTACTCTTCAATAGCTCTCCAACAATGGTCAGGAGCAGTTGGAAAGTACACAGTACTAAATTGCTAAACAGCTTTACATGTAGAAACCCAAGATGTACAGGAACTGTACAGGAAGGTATCCTAAACAGTTTATTCTCCTAGCTCTGTTATCAGAGCTCTGAACAGCTTCTCAAAGTGAGGAAGCAAACAGTGAGAAATACAGTGAAGGCAGTAAATTCTTCCGTATCTATGCTTAACTGCAAGAAACAGAGATAGAAGAGGCACATTACCTGTCCTGATGTTGTCCAGCAACTGTCTTAAACGGTCAATCTCTGCTTTCTGTTGCTTCATAGCTCCATTTAATTTATCAATTTCAAACTTCTCAGAGCTTGACTCAATCTTATCACCAGCTTTCCCCATTTCATGTTGAAACTGTTTAAAATGCAAGTTTAAATCAAAGCATTTCAATGGAAATCAGAACATGCTAGAGCTTTTTCCAAACAAGCTTATCCATTACTACAAAAATGCTCATTAGCAAAAAAGCACACAACCATTTTGATTTAACAAAATTGTTGTTCTCATGCCTTCAGATGACTGAATCTTACAGATGCATCCACAGAAAGATGCAAGTCAACAGGTGATAATTTAACTTAAAAGCAGCTGCCCTCGTCAGCGAGAGGTTTCTGTTTTGTTCTTTGAGGGGAGGAAGGGAGTACATTGTGACTTGGGAAAACCTGAGAAAATGGGACAAAAAAACCCTAGGTGCTTAAATAGCAAAATTTGGCAGTTTCAGAAAGCCACTGAAGTGCTGTCCCTAAATAGTTTCTCTCTAAATATTTTATCCTTCTCTTACAGCGTGAAGCAAATATCGCCACAACTTACTTGTTCTTCCTTCTCTTTTAGGAGTTGTTGTAACAATTCTATTTCTGCTTCTGCTCGGGCGAGATCTCGAGCTGCCTGAGCTGCCTGAATATAGAACTCTTCAGCTTCCTCAAATTCCTGTAATTGAAATTTTAATTTGGGCTTTAGTTTGCAAGAATACTTCACAAGCTTGCAGATGTCTCATGCAGCTTGTGAAAAGCAGACTAATAAGAAGCATCAACACTAGTCTGTTCTGGGATTCAATAAACCGGTAAAAAATATATACCATTTACAAAAGATATTGTTCTTCCTTTAGCTTTATAGTATTTCTACAGAGTAGATGCTGGTATACAGCCAAAAGTTTTTAAAACCTTAAGTGTTAAGAACAAGATTTCACATTTCCTTCTTTTGCTTTTCTCTGTCTTAGGTAACAATAAATTATTTACCGTCTCTTCTCAAGTGGTAAAAGTTTAAATTTGCCTCTCTCCCACCTTCTAAAACACAGCAAGACAGTCTGTTCGAGCCCAAATTTTTTCCAGACTCTTATCTACCTATTTCAAAATGACATGTCCTCCAAAGCAAAAGCTCCTGCATAGCAAGACAGCTCAGAATAAAGACTTAAAGTTGGATTTAAAAGGAAAAAGCACTGCCTTCATTACAATGGACATTAGAAAGCGCTGCTTAATTAAAACAAGCAATTAATTATCAATCTGTCGATTTACCTCCGCTCGCTCCTGATTAATTCTGAGTACTGTACCATGAAGAGCCTTCAGCTGATTTCTAGCGTTGGAGAGCTCTGTGGCTGCCAGTTTATCTGAAGTAACGATCGCTCTTTTTAATTTCGTCAGTTCTTTGTCTAGACTGATAAACTGCATTTCTGCCCTGGCATCATCTATTTTTTTCTGAAACGAGGAAAACACTAGGTTTTATGATAGGTTTTAAGTAAAAATCAACATCGGACAAAAGACTTACTCTTGGTATGACTTTTTCCACACATAAGATCTCATTCTGTATTGTGTGCATAAAAAGTTAGAAAATGCAAAATCAGGATGACCAATAAAATTTAAGGGAAAATGAAAGTTATATTTAACTTTCTGAGGTCACCCTGTGCTTGACCTAGGTCTTGGAAAGCAAACAATTTAAAAGCTTTTTTTCCTGAGCATTCAGAAGCAGTGTATGATCAAGTTCTTATGCGTTCCTACCTTTTTCTCCAAGTCTTCCAGTTGGGCAAGAATCGTCTCTTTTTCCTCATCTGCCTCTTGGAGCTGTTGATCAGCCAAGCCCTGAATTTCTTCCATGCTCTTTATTTTTTCATGTAAATGTTGAATTTCATTCTCCAATTGATGGACCTTGTTCTCATTCTGCCTGTTTTCAGATTTAACCTACAATTAAAATAAATTACAATGAACAGCCTGACAAGTGCAATTATCAGCATACTTGCTATCAAAAGATAAGGGAAAAAGAACTATTTTGCCACTGTAATGATTATATTTTAAAGTGTCCAAGTTATTTTAGTAACAACATGCATCATGAATTTCTGAGAAGGTTTCTCACTATATATATTTTTCTATCTATATTTAGGCTCTCTTTGTTGCCTACAAGATACATAATTGAGTCAAAGTTCTAACTCACCAAATAATTAGGTACAAATCATAAGAACTATTAAAAAAATTCACAACTCCACAGCAGTTACATAAACACCAGTAAGTGGGTCTCTCCTTGTTATCCTACAGCCCAAATTGAAGACTTCTCCTGGAAGTTTTAAAGGACATAAAACTTTTCTCCTCCAAGCAAGCTTTATATAACAAAGAAGCCCAAAAGGCCATGAAAGGCCTTTGTGGTTACAAAGGACCACATGTCATAGCTATCAAAATATCTGATTTAATCCATAGTCTTAAGAATAAACATGCATCTTATTTTTTTGTCTTAAAAATACTGTCAGAAACCTGTGAGGGTAGCAATAAAACTTATCAAAAGAATGACCCATGTATTTCACCTCTCTAGCCAGAATTTCAAGTATGCAGTGTGAAAGTCATCATTTTTTGTTCTCCTCCTTCTTCAGAAGCTGTTGCCTGATTATAATAGTTTCTTTATCATGAAGCTACTACATGATATACACTTGTGCACAACAGGAAAAAAAAAAAAATCAAACCTCTAATGCTGATTATTATTCCCGTTCTAATCATGAGTAATAGTGTCCTGCTCTGATGCAAGTTGCCAAACCTATTTCTGACAAGCAAATGTCTTCCATTTTGCTTGCTTTTAGTAAAATTATACTTCCCTGAAAGATGGAGGGAAGCAAAGCTACACACGACGTAAAGCTTAATCCTCAGGTTGCAAGTTACGTTTTTTTGACTAAGCTGAAGTTGTCTCAACTCTTGCTTTTGTAGTTTTGTTACGTGCCTGTCTATATTTTTCCTGTACATCTTCCAGTTTATCCTGTTGAGATGAAATTTCTTCCTGCAATTGTCTCTGTCTAGCCCATGCTTTCTCTTTTTCTCTCTGTGCATCGGCAAGGATGTTATTAAATTCCTTCTGCAGATTTGCAAGGCTTTTCCCTAAAACATCAGTGGAATTATGACACCTGAAAGAAAAACAATCCAGGTTTCATGACAAAAAATAGTGATACCAGATAATGAAATAATGAAACCTGTTATGTTAGTGCAAGGGTTTAAGACATCCAGTATAACTGAGCTCAGATGCAGCACTGAACAGTTTACGCTGCACAGAAAAAGCCAACAGAAATGTATATTTCTCTCAGTAATATAATTAGTGAGCTCAGGTGATGCTCTATTAACCACACACTGCTAGAGGTCATGTTTAAGCTGCCCCAAGCTGCATTCAGTATGATGCAGCACATATACCTTGTTACTCCTATACTTAGTGATGCACAAATCCAATTCTGTTTGTAAGGTTTTTACTCACTTAATCTCTCCAACTCCCATCTGAAGCTTTTGTTTGAGTTCATTTATACGAGCTAGGACTTCCTCAGGATGAATTAAGCTACCAACTGCGTGCTTTAGCTGATTTTGAAGATCTTTAAGCTGTTGTTTCAGGAGATTATTGTCTCCCTAAAGAAACAAAACAACCCCCCCCACAGATTTCAGTGTTAAAAGTTCCACCATTAGCGTCAAGCATTTTTCCAGTGTAAACATAAAACCTCCCCCAATATCAGTAACAAAACAAGAACACCCCAAACCATCTTTGCCTTGCAGTTTCCTCTATGTTGAGAGGCATTTAAATGGCAATCTGGAATGACCTTCTCTTTTTCTGAAACTAGTTAAGTAACGTCTTTATATACACAATGCCCATGGACGTGTAGAAGCCTATCACACTCTCCATCCATTACAAAACTGAACAATCAGGGACACTGCACCAGCCACTAGACCAGCGGGTCATATTTGTCCTGGCCCTATTAACGTTGAATTATTTCTGCACATTGGCAAGCTTCAGCAAAAATAATAGTGCTGATGTCTGGTGAAGATCCTTTATAAGCCTGTGGTAAGGGCATCCTCTGAGAGGCGAACATGAGATGGGAAGAATGGATTTGATGTCCAAAATGGGAACGTGCAAATTAAAACATGCATTGTTTTTCCCCAGCAGAAGGCTACTGCTTTGGACAAACCAGACTTCCCGCAATGAGGGAAACCGCTTAATCACTCAGCTGGTTTGAGAAAGGGGCTCCTCTACCAGTCATATTGTGAAGATCCTGATCCCAGTGTATTAAACTTGCCTAGAAAAAAATCCTGTTGACTGATCCTCTCGGAAGATGTAGGAAGAACACTCAGTTTCTAATCTCAGTTAAGGTAAGGCACTGATCTATGACACTTATCAAAAGTGGAGGTGTTTCTGTATACATGCGCAGTTCAAATGTCCAAAGAGTTCAAGGAGCACAAGCTGTGTTGCCTGTTATATTTGGGTGTCCTTACTGTTTTATGGCAATTGAGCAAGATTTCTCAGGCCCCCAGCTTTAAACAGATAAAATGGAAGTTTGCTTTGGGCATTGAACCAGTTTTTGGTTCTACACCCAAATCATTTTCTTACTGACATGCTCTGGATGAGGTTTGTGGGAAATTAAGATATAATTAAACGATTTATCAATTCTTCTGCAGTATAACTGAGCAGCTCTGAAATTATTTCAAAGGTCAATCCAAATGTCTAAAATAGATAAATGACAATGTGTAGGGTGTCTGGACAAGAAAATTAAAATAAGGAAGAATCATAAATACTACTGAATATCAAAATAAGATTCAAAAGGAACCTTGCAAAATCTTCATTACTATGAGGAACAGAGAAACAAACCACATATCAGTTAAGTGTTAAGGCGACAAATACTTAACCTGCAATTGTTTGAACTGAGAAAGGAGTTTATAGTTTTCTTGTTCCTTCTCTTCTGCTATTTGTGCTTTGGTCAGAGCATTCTCTAATGCTTGCCTTTCTTTTTCAAGTTCAGCTTGCAGGGCTGATCGTTCCATCTACATGCACAGAAATACTTCAGATTAACCCCTTCTCCCCCAGATCTCGCCCAAAATCCTACTGCCATCACTCCCCAGAAAACAGCTGCATTTCTTAAAAGAATAACATGATAACCCCCCCTTTAAAAAGCACCCCCTGAAAAAACAAAAGAATCCCAAACCTCCAGCACCAAAAAACATAAAAGCTGTATTCCTTAAAACAACACTACTGCCATGACTGGTGTTACAAATTCTAATCTAGACCCCTAGCACAAACATATCCTACCCATATGGAAACTGACAGACTTTTTATCAGTGTTTTACATAGAACTTCCAAGTTTTCCCTGAAATACCAGACTTTAGGGGTGGGGGGAGAAAGAGCAGAGGGAAAAGAACACACCTTACCATTTTGCATTTGTATTTTCTACTGTAATCTGGAAGCTGTGGTTGGAATAAATCTCTCAAAAGAACCACCACCTTCATTTCTGAGGAATGGATGAATGAATGGAAACTGAACCAAAATAGTAGTTATTGTACATTACCACTGCACCTCATCCAAATAAGGATGCCCAACAGTAGGATAAAATGGGAATGCACAAATTAAAACATGCATTGTTTTTCCCCAGCAAAAGGCTTATGTACAAAACTTTTGTATAAAAGTTTTGCTATAAAACTCAATCTCCAGTACAAAAAGCAACAAATGCAAGCTTTGTTTTTCTCCTGCTGCGTTTCATAGGACTGTTTTAGTGTCACTTCTTTGATGTGTGTGCAGTTACGTCTTTCCAGAAACATGCCGATTATTAGTTTTGTTTAAATAGGGTAAATATTCTCTACAGAGAGCCCTCAAATGAGCTGTACCTTGTTTTGAATGCAAAGTTATAAATCCTAGCAAACTGATACCACCTTCCATTTGGAGCACATCTAAACCATCAATTATCTGCGAGTCAGTGTTAGAGACATTGTATGGAGGAAAGTTTTTTTTTCCCCTCCAGCTTGATTATCCCTTTGACAGCCTAGGAGTCTTTTTCTTACCTGGCTAAGTTGTTTTAGTCGTTCCAATTCTTCTTTTTGCTGATTGGCTTCAGTGTCTCTGTCTCTTAACTGGGCTTCCAGTTCAGCCTCATAGGCGCTGATGTCCCCTTGTGCATCTCTAAGGGATTCATTTATTTCTTGTTGCTCTTGGAGTGCACCTTTCAGCATTGCAATTTCCTAAAATTTTATATTCATTTCAGAAACTGATACGCAGGACAGCCAGGATTTCGCAGAGTACATTGCCTTTCTTCCTCTATTACTCAGGTACTGATAGTTAATGTGGCAGCTGGTGGATCAAAACCAAGACACTGCTCCTAATCACTAACCATAAAAGCTTGGAACGAGTTAAAACCAATACATACTAAGGTCAGGTCAATGATGCTATTGTGACAGATGTTGTAGAAAATTTACTCACAGGTTAGCAAGATATAACCTAGAGTGATATACATCTGTCTCTGAGACTCATCAGTCATAATAAGACAGCTCTTTAAACAACTGGATGACAGGAGAGATGCAAGCAATAACATGCACATGCTGGACTACTGTCCAGACAATTGTCACTAATGCAATTCACTAAGACACTGACTGCAAATCCATTCCCAGTCAGTCCTGAAAGGTAATGCCTGTACTTGAGAGATCCTCCATGAAGTACACATTTACTGTATGCTTCTAGTTTTAAAGGCCAAATTCTGTTCTTAATATGCATGGGCCCATCTGACTGAAGTTACCATATTAGAAAATAATTTTGTCCAAGGAACGGTTGTCTGTCATTCCCAATTCTGTTGTTTACTTTTTTTTTCCAAATTTATTCTTAGGTATTTGAATTTGGGGAGAAACACAGTATTAAGCCTTACTTTTCTCATATTTTCTGCATCCATGGCAACTATTTCCAGGTTGTTTCTTTCCTCCTCTAGCTCTGCCAATCTTTGTAGCAAAGATTCTTTATCCTTCTGTAACTCCTTACATTCATCACTGGCCTGTTTTGCCTGACCCTTCACACTTTCAAGATATTCTTGTAATCCAATGATAATACCTTCTAAATCCCTTTTGAGTGCTTCATTTGTTGCTATTTGACCTGCAGAAATGCAAAATAAATTCAACATAGTCAATAATCTACGGCTGTTTACAAGAGAAACAAAACTGCCATTCTCAATCTTCTTTAAACTGTTCTATTGGAATATGCAATAAAAAGAAGCAACTAGTATTCAACCAGAAAACACCTATACCATGTTTTAAAGGCTGGAATGTAGGATTTGCCTATTACCATCCTGACCTGACCACTGGAAAACTTCAACACTGCTAGATATCAAACAGGTGTAGGCAGTCTCCTAATTGATATTATTTCTATAATTTCTCCATAAAAAAGTCACCCTTCCCACCTCCAGTTCTTTGTTCCCTGTGCATCTCTCCCCACCAATCCACAAGAAAAAAAAAAGACATTTGCTACCTTTACACCTAAATCAATTTTATTTCAATTGTTTTAAAAGCTAAAAATACAGAGGGTGGACCTGGGATATTTACTATCACATAAAATTCAGATGTATAGTAAGTTTATACATAATAAAGTCAATTAACTAAATTTCTTAAGTCAGTTTTCAAAACTTAGGAGGACCAAATAGATGCACGTAAAAGACACTTCTATGCAGGCTAAAAGGATAGAAGTGAATCTCTTAACAATCAGCTCAAGTACTAGCTGTGTAACTATTTTTTAATATTTCTGATACGGATGCGAACACATTTCAGGCCATCACCTGAAGCAGAAGTGAAAAGAAGACCTCATAACGGCATTAGACTATTAATACTTCATTCATACAATAAAGAGCAGAATAGTCCTCTCCTCTTTGTAATAACAAAATTGTGGCCCAGAAGGATACGTTAAATAACCAAAAAAACCGCTCAGCTCAGACTTAATCAGCCTTGTCCTGACTTTTTGGATCCTCCACAGCAACAAAGCAGTCCTTTAATCAAAGCAGTTGTTTTTTTTTGTTGTTGCTTTTAACTAGCATATTCCCTTCCCCCACATATGTACAGTGAGGTGAACATACTAGAAAAAAAAAAATCACTCAAGATTATTCCTAGATGATCTAAAAGGAAAAAGGTACAGTAATTTTCAACTTTCCTACACATTTTGTGTATCATTTAAGCAAATATACACAAAGCTGAATCCTCAGTTCAATCGTGATGTTATCCTAAATACAAGGAATACTCCAAGATGAAAAGAAAAAATTACCATCTGTGAGCTGTTGCTCCAAGTCCTTGATTTCCTCAGTTTCCTTAGCAATCCTAGAAAGCATTTCATCCAAGCGACTCTCAAGCTGTTTGTAATGTTTGTTCATTATATCAAGCTGCTGTTCTTTGCTTGTTTTTTGAGCTTTCATGTGTGCCTGTAAATTACAGTTGGAAAGGTAAAATAGGAAAACGTCAATAGGGATTTAAAAACAAAAAAAATCAACTCTTCTCAGTTGTACAGCAAGTAGTGAGGCAGAGCAGCAGAAGTCACAAGTACAGTGCAAATCTTATTGTGCTTGGCTTTTTGCTTCCTTCCCCCCCTCCCGTACCACTCCACAAATAATCCCAGATAGGTAAGCAATCTGTGTGAAAAACAGAATCATTAGTAACGTCTCCCTCTTGCCAGGGAAGAGGAAGGCTGACGTTCATAAATTAGTTCTCACAGCTACTGCCTTTCTTCTTGACTTATGTTATATTATATTATTTCCTCTTTCAGTCAAGAATGAACATCATTTCCCCCAGAAGCTTTAATGCTGTCATCCTACATTACCTTCACTGCAGACTATGCTTCAGGACTTGTCAGGTCACCATCCAGAGAAAAATACTCCAGACAACCAGAAAGGCAGGCCAATGCCATAGCTAATATTTACTTAAAGTAGAATTATTTTTGTATTTCTGAGAAACCCACTGTGCCCACAGCTCAGACTTTGGTCAGGATTTCATATGTTTACTATGAATTTAGCCGACTTTTTCAGTTGTATACAAAACTAGATTATCAATACAGTATAGGACTAACTGTTCCTCACTGGTGTGAAATTACTCACAAATAACTCAAATGCCAAAAACTTGGAAAAGTACATAGTTGTCATGATGAAAAATAAATAATTTTTTCTTAACCACTCAAATAAACACCACAGATCAAGCTAACACTAGAAAATTTCAGTTACAAATTCTCAGAAAAGTAACCTGTAAAGTTGCTTCTATAACAAAAATAAAGTCTAAAAATATGTAGCTTTCTGGATTCTTAGCATATTAAAATATAAAGTTATCTTTAAAACTCCTATTCATACAATTCAGTTGTCATCTGTTAAAAACAAACTAATATTCAGCTTTCCAAAGTGTAATTTCAACAAGTAAAATCGGAGTAACGTGCTGCTGCTGAGTCATTTTGCTGCAGCTGCTGAATGTCACAAGAGTATTGTTTAAAAAAAAAAACAAACACTTACAGTTTTGCCTTTGTCTTTTCTTCCTTGGATAGTCTATGCAAAATGCCCCACCCCGATCTAGAATTCACTTAAATAAGGAATAGGTATCTTCAGCACAGAAAATAATAAAGCATAATCTGTCTTCTCCGAACCCTGCTGTTTCCACAGCAGCAGGTTAGCTGGAACACAGCTGGAAAGCCCGGAAAGCGCAGGAGCCGGGAGGGAGCCTCCCCGCAGCCCGCTCCGCCGCGGCCTCCGCTGACTGTTAGCAGCTCCGGAGGCGATTGGCCCCGGCCGCCGCTTCCTGTGTTGTGATTTAAAGCGAGGAGGCAGCCTGCGAGGACGGC